AGAGTCAATGAGGATTTGACACAGAATCTCAACAAAGAGATAGAAATGCTGAATGCAAATAAAATTGAAATTTAAGAAATAAAAGTTCATCCTAACGGAGGCCTTACCCTCTCCGAGGAGGAGATGGGAGTTGGGGGGGGGGTGAGTGGGAGGAGTGGAGGGAGGGGGAACTGGGATTGGAATGTAAAAAATAAATTAATTTTAAAAATTAAAAAAAAGAAATAGAAGTTTAGTAAGTCAAATAAACTCTTTATACGGCCCCACTAATGAATGGCTCAAATAGAAGACAGACTGTCAGGGATGAAAAGAGGTCAATTGGAACATTCAGACAATGACAAAGATAAAGGGATAAAATATGAATAGTGCACATGAGCTTTATTGGACACCATTAAAAGATGAAATGTCTGAGTCCTGGGGTGATAAAGGAGCTCCAGTCTAAAGCATATACAATATATTTAACAAAATAACAGTACAAGGCCCTCCAAATGTAGAGAAACAGATGAGCGTCTAGAGCCAGGAAACATTTAGAATACAAAACAAACAGGACAAGAAAAGAACCTACTGACACCATAATATAGTTACAACACTAAATAAGAGAGCAGAGAAAATACTGAAAGCTGAGGGAAGCACTAAGTCTTAGGTAAACCCATAAAAGTTCCAGTGTCATTCTCCATAGAAATAGAAAAAAAAATCTTAAAATTACTGTGGAAGCATAGACTCCAGAACACCAAAACAGTCTAAACAAAGAGAAAATGCTGGGGTTACCACCATACTTGATTTCAAGTTGTACTATGGAGTCACAGGAACAAAAGCAAACATGTAGACCACGGAATAGAGGAAAGGATAGGATAGGATAGGATAGGAGCACCCAGATATATAGATGTTCACAACTATGGGCAATATATATTGAAGAAAATGGCAAAACTGGATAGTGACATCAGAAAATCAGAGTGAAACTAGATTTTCATTTCTCACCCTGTATGAAAATCAAAGGAATTAAAAACTTGAATGTAGGATCTGAACCCCAGAATGCATTGGAGGAAGAATAAGAGAAGACACTTCGAGATCAGCACGGGCAAGCACTTTATTATGATTTTTTAAATTCTGTGTATTTAGTGTTGGAGGAGACACTTGTCATGCACATGTGCAGATATCACAGGACAGCTTGTGAGAGTCGTTTCTCTCTTTCCACCATGTGGGTCCTACGAGATCCAACTCATGTCATCAGGCTGACATCAGGTCAGTATCTTTACCCACTGGGTCATTTCACTGGCCCATCAAAGACTTTCTGAATGGGACTCCAGTCACTCAGGAAATAATGCTAACAATTGTCCAGTAGGGTTTCATGAGACTGAAGAGCTTCAGCACGGCAAAGGAAACAACTGAGTGAAGAGAGAGCCCACAGAAAGGAAAAGGCTCTTTGATGGCTGGGTACTTAACAGGGCTAATACCTAGGCTACTCAAAGAGCTCAAAGAACTGAATAACAAGCCAAACAACCCAATCAATAAATAACCTACTAAAATGTGTATACACATGTCAATAAGTGCATGGCCAGTAAACATATGAAAGAGTATTCAGCATCACTGGTCATCAAAGAAATATCAATTAAACTACATTGAAATTCCATCTCACTCCAGTCAGAACGGAAATCTAAATAACAGCTGGGCGTTGGTGGCACATGCCTTTAATCCCAGAACTTGGGAGGCAGAGGTAGGTGGATCTCCGAGTTTGAGGCCAGCCTGGTCTACAGAGTTCCAGGACAGCTGGGCTACACAGAGAAAACCTATCTTGAAAATCTCGAAAAACAAAACAAACAAAAAAGAAAGAAAGAAAGTAAATAACAAATGCTGGTGAAGATGTAGGGCTAGAGAGGTCCTCTTGGTAGGAGTGATTCCCAGGAAAATTGAATCAACTGGATATAATCTATTAAGCAAATTAAGTTAGTTTCAGAAAAAAAATAGGGCATGTTTTCTGAATAGAGAGGAGAGAAAGGGGTGAGCAGCAATGCGTGGGCAGATATGCTCAAAGTATGCTAAACACTTGCATGGAACCCTCTTATGCAACCATACTACAGGCCTCAAACAATGAGGCTAATATATCATTGAAAGAACCACCCCTCCCACACACACACACACACATACACACCAAACTGTGAGCCAGAAAGAACCTTTTCTCTTCAGAAGATAATTATCTCGGGTATTTTGTTGTAGAACTGCCAAGTTGACAAGTCTTAACAGTATGAGTTTGGGTTGGTGTGGAGCTGTGTCAGCATCTTGATGGTCGTTTTCATGTCTATTATAGCATGGTTCATATTCTCACTGGCTATTATATTGGTTTAATGGCCACAAATGAGTAATTATAAACCAGTAAAAGCTAGATTGCTTGTATTGCAGACTTAGGAGAATATGAGGAAATTTTCTTGTTGCTTACTCAAGAGAGAGAATGGAAAAAAGAAACGATAGGAGTTTATTGAGAGGGCTAGTTGACAGTGTGGCCAGTGTTCTTTCAACATCTGCACTGCCAAACTAGCAGATCGTTATCTGGACTTGGCCTTTCAGTCAGTAACTCCTGAGAGCCATGCTGTAGACACTGGTCTAGGGAAGACTTGACTTCTGGTGCAGGCCAGCTTTAGCTAGAGAGGGGCTGCCCAGCCAGTATTTACACAGCCAGAAATTTGGTTTAAGGCAAATTTCTGATGATAACACTGGCAATATTGTCACCGTTTTGGGAAAGAGCATGTAGTGATCTCTTGGGGCCTTTCAAGGGCCACAATGTCTGCTCTTGCTCAGAGGGACCCCAAGGTGGCCTTTATCCCCCTCACCTTTCTTCCCCCACATAGGCGGAAATGCATATGTTGGAATTTGCTCAGGTATGTTTCTCAGGCAACTGCCACTTCCTCTTGCTCTTGTGGAAATCCGGGATGAGTTAAAATTCATGTCCTTTAATTTCTACTTTGTTTGTTTGTTTTTTTCCTTTTGGTTTTTCCAGACAGGGTTTCTCTGTGTAGCTTTGGAGCCTGTCCTGGCACTTGCTCTGTAGACCAGGCTGGCCTCGAACTCACAGAGGTCTGCCTGCCTCTGCCTCCCAGTCACAAAGCTGAATGTTCATCGGAGAAAGATAGGAATGTCTGGGGACTTGGGAGATAGTTCCCAGGGTGAAAGGCCATTTACTGTTTGCAGCATGTACTTCCCGGTTATACCATGTGTGAGACCAAAACAGAGCTGGGATCAGGAGATGGAGCCCAGGTGGCCCAAACAGTGTTGTGGTCACCGATGGCTTTCGTGCTTCATCCTGGTCCCATCATCTTAGTAAGAGCCTTCAGAAATGACATCAAGTCACTTTGTTGATATTCAAAGGCCTTTCTGACCATGGGCCACAACAGACAAGATGAGTTTAAAGGAGGGTGGTGGGTGGCCTGTGGGAGGACCAAGGCTCTGCTGCTTTGTGTACCCCCAGAGACGCTACAGAGAGATCAAACCACAGCCAAACAGCATAACCCCCCAGAGCCTGAATGTGTTTGTGGGATCCACCAAAGAAGTCTGCTTGAACATGTGTTTAAGCCAATAGAAAGTCTTTATTAGCCATCTGGTGACGACATGTCCAGGATCCCAGTGTAGTCCCGAGTCCTTCTCAGGGTGAGCTTTGAAGCACAAAAACCATGATCTGGATTAACAGGAACAGACAGCTAGAAGTGGAGCTACAGAAACAGAAAAGCAACTTAGTGCATTTAGAGACTTTCCCACAGCTGTGGACTGTGATGGACTAGGCCTTTGTCTTCATTTTAGCAGGTGGTGCTGTCTACTTGCTGCTAAGTTTTGTGGCCTGATTGATACTTCTGTCATAAAGCCACTTGTGTTAATGTCTGGGCCTCTGGACTTTGAGGGTCCATTGATGTTGCCTTACAGCCATTTTAGCTAGTGGCAAGCTCCATCCTCTAGCCAACTAGTGGGTCCTCTCACTGACCATCATGTTGAACCCAGCTATGGTGATACCTGGCTTGTACAAATAAAGCCTGTCTGAAGATCAGACGATGGAGCTTGCCACTAGCTAGCCATAGAGGTCAGGAGGTCTGTACAGACAGGCAGGAAGTAAGATGGCTGGACAGAGAGAGGAGGTAAGATGGCTGGGCAGTGGTGACTCACACCTTAAATCCAGCAGTTGGGAGGCAGAGGCAGGCTGATCTTTGTGATTTTGAGGCCAATCTGGTCTACAAAGGGAGTTCCAGGACAGCCAGGGCTACACAGAGAAACCCTATCTCAAAAAACAAACAAATAAAACAAAAAACAAACAAAACAATAACAACACAAGCATGCCCTTTGCCACACTCACACTCTCCCCCTGTTTGTGCCCAGCCATCTCACCCAGCACTGTTCCATCCGTCACACTGAGGACTTGACATATGACCTGACTTAAAAGCCTGTCAATCTTTTAAGGGTTAGAAAACAAAGGCAGAAAATGTTGACATTTGTAAGTGGCGGAGGAGGAATGGCATCCAGGACAGCCTGGCTTCAAGTCACGTTTATTTGACCACACAAAGTACAGGCATTCATTCACATGCATGCTTGTGTGTATGTGCACACACACAGTGTTGGGAAGGGGGGGGGGAGAGGGAGAGAGGGAGAGAGAAGGACAGAGAGAATATGAATGACTACCAATTCCCCATCAAGAGTGAGCCTGACTTAGCTGTCTTAAATGATCCCAGGCATTCTACAATCACAACTGCTTAGAAAAATGCATAGTGTTGGTTGACCAGAAGGCTCTGGGAATCCCAGGGCAACTTGGCTGGGAGTGTCTCCAATCTGGTGTACAGGTTGCCAGAGCTCCTGGTTGGAGTCTCAAAACTCTGGTGTAAGCTGCCAAGGGTGGCAGATAGCTTGGTAAAAACAAATGGGCTGTGTGAGTGGAGGCTGTCAATGGAATGGACTGGCAGTGGTGCCAGGGGCTGGCCAGTCTCTTACCTGCCTGGTCACTTACCACCATCTCCCTCCTGTCTTCTCAGCCACCCATGGATTGAAGTCCAGGCCAGTGGCCCCCGGGGAGCAGGCAGCATACCACGGACCAATACACTGCATTGCAACCATTGTGCGGACTGAGGGCCTGGCAGGGCTGTACCGGGGAGCCAGTGCTATGCTGCTGAGGGACATCCCAGGATATTGCCTCTACTTTATTCCCTATGTGTTCCTAAGCGAATGGATCACACCTGAGGCCTGCACAGGGCCCAGCCCCTATGCTGTGTGGCTGGCAGGTGGCCTTGCAGGTAAGGGCTACAGCAGTAGGAGTCCCGTCCCTGGGTCCTGGGCCTGGCACAGTGACGGCAGAGTGCAGAGGTTCCCACCGTGACCTTCCCAGCTCTGAGGAGCCAGCACCGTGCAGTCACATACGCAGGACCCCTCATTTCTCTTACTCTGTGCCATGCCTCGTAGGGGGACAGCCCTTTGACCTCTTGTGTCTTTCCTTGCAGGGCTGTGAGTCCCTGTGTGACTTTGAGGCACTGGGTATATTCTGAGAGTGCTCTGTGTGAGAGGCATTGCTGAGCTTTTGGGATCACCTTTAGCGGTATAGGAGGAGGGAGCCGCTCTCCACACTCTGCATTAGATACTCAAGGCCATGAAGCCAGTGCAGACGGGACAGCAGGGAGGGCTCTGCAGTCAGAAAGATCCAAGTGTAGCCATGCTTGCTCATTTGCCACCCCAATGGACTTGTTACCCTCCTACGAGGCTCCACAGCCACAGCTCATTCAGAGGGAAAGCCAGCATGCGTGCAGTGGTTGCCATGCCTGCTTTGATGTGACTGGCTACTACCTCTCTGGCATCTTTCTCTGCTGCTCCCCTTCTCTACCTTCCTCTTCCCTCCCCTCCCTCTCCTCTCTCCTTCCCCAGAGCTATCTGTGTTTTAAACGCATAGCAAACATTCAAAGTCCATGCCTGACCATACAGCAATGGCGCTCTGCCCATGCCCTTGTGTGTCTGAGGCCCCTCCCTGGACCTATTCCTACGAAGAGCCCTCAAGTCCCCATCTGTCCTCATTTGTGTGGAGAGCAGGCTTGCTGCCCTCATTTCATGACATCCTCACTGTGACTGAGGGATGAGTATCCCAGGCACGTGTAGGGAAGCAGCCCGGAGCCCTGGCAAGGGCAGGAGAGAGTGAACATCAAGGCTTCCACAGGCCATGGCAGAGAGCTGGGGCACTGGGGCCTGCATAGGCAGAGGGACCAGGATGTCTCTATGAAGAGCTGCTGGGCAGCAGTTAGCAAACCCAGAAAGCCAGCTGCCCTGGACTTTGATATTGGAGTGTTGTCCCTCCCCAGCCAAGAATGTGTTAGTTTCTGTGTTAGTAAAACAAAACAGAACAAAAAACTCCCCCTGTTTTCCTCATCTGTTAAAGTCCCACGAATGCTTAAACTGGAACTTCCGCACTCATCCAGTGAGGATGACCCCTACATATGGACCCCAGTTTCATGCTACAGAGTTAGAAAAGTTTTTACACAGAAAAAGACTATGCCTGTCCTGCCTTGCAGTCCCTAGGCTGGCCCTTCTCAGGGAGCGGTCTGTGTGACAGGCTCTGTTAAAGCCTGCCTGTGGGTAGCTGCAAGCCTTTGGGCAAAGGTCTCACCCTGAGCTCTCTCTGTGCCTAGGGAGAACTGCAGAGGACTCTGAAGCAGTTGCTGTCCCACTGATAAACGTTGCCGTGTGTGGAGCCTCACTGGGGCCTGCTCTCACCCTCTAGGCTGCCACAGGCATCAGTTCACCATGTCCTCACAACGGCCTCATAAACACAGCACTTCAGCCCCGGTCCACAGAGCAGGTGCAGGAGGCTTCTGCTGAGTCCAACAGTCCCATCCCCAGCCCACGTCCCCCGCCACTGCCATGTATGGGGTTTCTGAAGGACAACATCCTCAGGGAGCCACGCCTTGAAGACCCAAGACCACCACTCTGACATACTTGTTTTCTGTGAGTTTGCAGGGGCAATTTCCTGGGGGACAGCTACTCCAATGGATGTTGTGAAGAGCCGACTCCAGGCTGATGGCGTCTATGTAAACAAATACAACGGAGTCCTGGACTGCATCTCCCAGAGTTACCGGCAAGAAGGCTTGAGGGTGAGCTGCACACAGACACAGCCCCCACCCCTGCCCGGCTAGCCCCGGGTCAGAGGGTTCAAGCGTGCTGTAGTGAGGGTGAGGTCGGGGACTGGGAACATGCGTTGGAGGTTGTCAGCGTGTCCTTTTTTGGGGGAGGAGGGGTGAATTTTTTGAGACAGGGTTTCTCTGTGTAGCTCTGTTGACCAGTCAGGCCTCGAACTCACAGAGAACTCACCTGCCTCTGCTTCCCCAGTGCTGGGACTAAAGGCGTGCGCCACCTGCCAGCCTGTCCTTAAGTTTATTCCTGGATACTTTGTTTGATGAAGCAGTGTGAATGGGACTTTTTTTTCCCCCCCACCTCTTGATTTCTTTCTCAGCAAGTTGCTTATTGGTGAATGGAAAATTATGAGAATTTGCATATTGATTCTGTACCCAGCTATTTTGCTGAAACTGTATAAGATTGTGTTATCTGCAAATAGGGGTGACTTGAATTCTTTCTTTTCTACTTGAATTCCTTGTATTTCCTCTCTTGTCATGTTTCCCCACCTCAGGCTACAAGCCCCATATTGAACAGGAGAGAGTGGACACCCTTGTCTCATGTTTGATCTCAGAGACAAGTTTCCAGTTTACCCCATGTAGTATGGCTTTGGTTGTAGGTTTGTCATAGAGCCCTTGGTGTGCTGACGTGTGTCTCTTCTATTCTTAGTTTCTTCGAGGAGGTTGTTATCATGAAGGCATTAAGTGTTGTCAAAGACCTTTCCCGTTCTGTTGAGATGGTCATGTGACTTCTGTCTCTTTACACTAATTTACATATGTGTAGTCACACTGCTATCCATGGACTGAAACCAACCTGATCATGCTGTATGAGCTTCCCATTGTGTTCTTTAATTAGGCTTGTGGGGTTTAATTGAGAATTTTTGTGTCTGGTATTGGGGAAATTGGCCTGTAACTTCCACTGCTGGTATCAGGTTCGTGCTGGTTTTGTGGAATGAGGTAGTGGTGTTTCTGTCTCTTCTGTGGTGGAAGTTTCTGGAGAATTGGTTCCAACTCTTCTTCAAATTCTTAATTTAACTCAGTGGTGACTCCATCCAGGTCTGGTCTTTTTGACGGAGACTGTGTTATAGCTTTATCACAGTGATTTCTTTTTGTATCTTTTAAATTGTTTACATCCTCTTGCACTAATTTAGTAGGCCATCTGTGTCTAGGGCCTTATCCGTTTCTCCCAGACTTTCCAATCCTTTGGATATTCTAAGTATTCCCCAGTAAATGCTTGGATGTCACTAGAGTCTGTGGCAATCTCAGCCTTTTCTTCTCTAGTTTTTAATGCTATTTCTCTCTCTCTCTCTCTCTCTCTCTCTCTCTCTCTCTCTCTCTCTGTGTGTTGCTGTTAGTTTGGCTGGGGGTTGTCAATCTTGCTTATTTTTTTCAGAGAACCGACTCTTTGATTGACTCTATTACTTTTTTTTTTTTTTTAAATTCCATTTCACTAATTTCTGCCCCCATCTTTGTGATTTTTTTTTTTTTTTTTTTTTTTTTCCCACTCACTGCTTGGGGGTTGTCTGAGTTTTGTTTTTCTAAGACTTTGAAATGCACTATTGAGCTGCTTCCTGATGTTCACTCTGGGCTGATGTAAGCATTCATAGATGCAGATGTCCTTACTCTCATCTGAGTCTAGGGACTTTTCAATTTCCTGTCTGATTTCTTCAATGGACATTTAGGAATTAGTGATGAGTGTATTGTTTGGTCTCCACGAATTTTCAGTTTCTACACTTTGGTTGTTGAATTTTAGTTTCATTCCACTAAGATTTGATAAGAAACAAGAAATTTTTTTATGGTTTTGCAATTGCCAAGATTTAATTTGTGTCCTAGAATGTGGCCTATTTTAGAGCAGGTTCCTTGGGCTATTTAAAAGAATATATATTGTGTATCTGTTGGGTGGACTTCCTCATTGGTATCTGTTAAGCCCATTTAATCTCTTATGTAATTTAAGGTTGAGGCGTTTTTGTTTGTTTCCTTTTAGGTTGATGGTCCATCTTTAGAGGGGATACTTACATCCATCACACAGGGTCTGTATGACCTTTAATGACCTTTAGAGTTTCTTTTAGAGATTGTCTGCCATTTGGTGCATATATGCTTACAGTTACTGTCTTCTTGATGAGCTTTCTGTATATGTAGTGACCTCCTTATGTCTCCCGATTTTGGTTTGATCTCTACTTTTTCAGATATCAGAATAGCTATGCCTGCTTGTTTTTACCTTCCATCTCTTGATAAATTTAATCCACCTTTAATCCCTGGGTGTGTGTGCCAGTGGGCTGTTTCTTGAGGATGACAGACAGCTGGGCTAATCTTTTAATCCAGTCAGCCAACAAGAGTCTGTGTATTTATGAGTTGATGACACTTACGTTTAAGGATAATATTGGGAGAAGTTTACTAACTCCTGTTGCTTTTATTGTTATTTTTCCGATTGGTTGGGTTATTGTCTGTCTCCCCTTTTAGCAATTGCACTTTGCTGGTTTTCTGTGTTGGACACGATGCATTCTTTCCTAGCTCTCCGTTCTTCTTCTGATCCTTTCATGTCCTTTATCCTTTCCAGTACACTTTTACCCTCCTCTGTGTGCAGTGGTCCTGCATGTGTCTTCTGTGGCACTGCGTCAGAGTGGCCTTCACACTCTAGAAATCACAGATCTGTGTGTGAGGGCCAGTTGAACTTGTGACCTCTTGCTTTGTTTTGTTTTCCACACAGGGTTTCTCTGTGTAACAGCGCTGGCTGTTCTGGAACTCACTTTGTAGACCAGGCTGGCTTCTCTGCCTGCCTCTACCTCCCGAGGGCTGGGATTAAAGGCGTGTGCCACCACCGCCGGACTGGTGAACTCGTGACCTCTTGTCTTGCTTGTGTTTATATTGTTGCTTAGTCTATGTTGGGCAAGTGTCCCTTGTCCACCGGTGCTGTCTTCATTTTGCTATTATTTCTTTATTTATTTAATTAATTTGTTTGTTTGTACACCAGTGGCCTCTGCTGGCCATATTTAACTTTGCAATCTGTGGACTGGGTGGGCTGTCTCACTTCCCTAAAACTCCCTAGACTGTACCCCTGGGAGTGGCAATACTCTAGCTAGGAAATCTCGTCTTTGTGTGTTTGTTGGCAGTGTAGGAAGCAAACACAGCACTGGGTATGAATCTCCTGCTGGTAGGATTCTAATGTGAGTCAGAAGGAGCTTCTAAAGCAGGCAGGTGCCTCAAGAGATGGAGCCTTTCACTGACACGAGCTTTAGGGCTGCTAAACTCCATGGTTAATAGTTAGGATCTGTTTCCTGCCATCAAAGGCTTGTGCCCTGGCCTGCTTGAACCAAACCTCCTGTTACCTGTGCCCTTCTGATTGTCAGCACTTAGCTATCTTGCTCACCATAGCCTCCCTGACCCTTTCCTAATCCTGAGGCTATAGCGGAACAAACTGAGGCTTTGTAGACTAGGCTGGCCTGGAACTCCAGACATCCACCTGCCTCTGGTGTTACAGTGCTGGGATTAAAGATATGTGCCACCACGCCCCTGCTTTGTTTTCTCAGAAGACAAATAGCTTGTGATTCCATCAGCAGTTACAGGACCCAAAGAGATTCATTCAGGATGCTATCATTGTATTTGAGAGTGTTTGTCTATTTCCCCCAAATTAGTTGTGTCATAATTAGGGAAAAATCTGTAGAGGCAAAACAAGGTGCTGATATCCCCCCACACACACACTCCCCATCACTATGGTCCATATGGACCACGCCCTCAGGCCAGCCAGGACTGGGCAGTTGCTCCCAGTCTCAGCAGTGTCCCCTCTGCAGTGCTTATTCAGAGATGAGTTTTATTTGCTGTCGGTGGTGGCAAGAATCGAGCTTCATTAACTACAACACAATGCCCAGTTGATGAAGAATTTCACCAGCCCACGATTAAGATTAATCTTTAAATCCTGCGCTAGTCGATGAAAAGGTCAGTGCCATTTCACCAGCCCGGGATTAAGATTAATCTTTAAATCCTGCGCTAGTCGATGAAAAGGTCAGTGCCGTGTGAAAGCAGAGAGCTTCCAAACACAAGGCCTCTGCATGTCTAGTGTCCCACCTGTCACCCTATCATCAAAAGCAGCCACCAATTTGAGTTTCGCATGATATATTCTCTGAATACACAGCGCACTTGCAAACATGCAAGCGAGTGGATGTCTGTGTGTGCTCACATGTACAGGCATTTCACATTGTCATAACAACAGTGTGCACAAGCAGTACCCCATGGGCTGTCTCGAACTTTTCAACCACCAAATGAGAAGAGTTCCCTTATCTAAGACTAACAATAACTGCAGCACCCATGATATGGGTTCTGCTTGGTAAAGAATAACTTCTAGAACATCCTGCCTGTGGCTCATGAAAACCCTACACACTCTGTCAGCAAACCCACCCTCATCTTTCCACAGAAGGGAACTCAGTAATAACAAGGACTCAGAAAGGGATCGTGCCTCTGGAGGCAGGTTGATCTGGTCTTCGTAACTCAAGGGTTGTTGGGAGAAGGCAAATCCAGAGGCCCATGGTTTAGGAACTTGCCACCAAACTAGAACCAGAGCAGCACCGGTGCTTTGATCTTGTTTGAGGTTTGTTTTGGGCCACATGGTCTGTGACTTCTGAAGTGAGGAGGCTAGAGTTGAGCCTTGGATTCCTGGTGGTTCGATGAGGCTGACTCGGGGGCTGGAGAGGCATGTTTGTGGTCATCAGGCTTCCCAAGGGGCTAGGGTCAATTGCCTGTTGATCTTGCCCTTTAGGGGACTGAAATCCTAATCCTACTTGAACCCTGATAGCTACCACCACCAGAACTACCTTGGCACAGGCTATACTTTTGTCATTCATTCACTTGCTCTTCCTTCATGGACTCATTTGACAAATAGTTATAGAAGGTCTGCTCAGGGCCAAATACCCATGAGTGGGACTGGGATGGGGGGTGGGGGCTACCCTCACAGACTGCTCGCTGCCCTGTAAGGGACTAATGCGTCATGGACCACGGGGAACAATGAGGACATGGTGTGATTAGGAAGGCACTCTTGTCCACTCTGGAGTGGCCTTGATTGGATGGACAGAGGCTGCAGGCACATATGGAGAACATTCAAAATGGAGGGGACCAGAGATGGCCTGGGGAGACAGATGAGACTGTCAGTCAGAGAGAACACAAGGCCTAGCAGGAGGGGTAACACAGGCCCGTGAGGCATCCATGTAGACACTTCCTGGGTAGTAGGGAGCCATGGAGGCTTCATGAGAGAGGTCTTGGCCCAAAATTCCTGAATGTTGTTTTATGGGGCAGGAGGCCTTGGAGCAGAGTCAAGCCAAGGTTACAGGGAGTCTAGGAACCCAGCATGGAATTTTCCCCTTGGATCTGGCCCTCATTCCTTGCTGTTACTCAGTCACCCCAGGTGAGCCTGAGGAATTCCTATGGTTAGGCATTAGAGAGGAGTGCTGATATTACCCTGATCCCACGTGGGTCTGCCTGAGTGGCTCTAGTGTTTGCTCCAGAAGCTCCTCTCCTAGGCTAAGCTCCATCCTGTGGCTGACAGTGTCCCCTGAAACTAGACACACACACACAGGCTGGATCCTCTTTCTGAAAACGGCCCACTCTGTCTTAAACTTTGAGATGATTCTGTGTGAGAGACAGTTCGCATGCCTGACAGCTCTCAGATCATGCTTGGGGAAGGGTTTGCTTTTTGATTGTGTGCAGTTTCCAGAGAAGACCTTCAGGGACAGCCCCCTACCCCATCCCTAGACCCCTTTCTGTCCCCATCATTGCCTGGTAATATTGCCATTGCTCTAGAATGCGTTTATCTCATCTAAGAAGTTCCAGGCTGCCCATGGGCACCAAGCAGGAAGACGTGGGGAGTAAGGAGCTCACGAGAGCCACACCATAGCGTTGCCCGGATCAGAAGACAAAGCACAGGTGGTGACGGGTCACAACAGAGGCAGAGGCTGCTAGCAGCTTCTCCGTTCAGACCATGCCACCTCAGCCACCTCAGCTGAAGGCGGCAGTCAGTGGCCACTGGGGCCCACTGGTTCGGTGGGCACTATGAAAAGCTTTAAGAAGCCTTCATTGGCTGGGTTATTACCTAGAACACCCTTAATCAGCTCAACATTGCCACTCTAATTAGAGATGTTGTCACCCACCCGTGCTGTGACCCTACCCATGCCTGTGATTTTAAGCATTGACCTGCCTCTGTAGGAAGTACCTGCCACTATTCCCGAGTGGGGCTGAGTGTTTTATATAGAGATTCCAGAACCCTGGGTGGGGTGGGGGAGACAGAGATGGAGAGAACAAACAGGGGCGCGTGTGACTGTACCGGCATAGAACTGCTTGGCTCTCAGCTTGCTGAAGCCTCCAGTGCACACACAGTGGAGCCATGAAAACAAGTGCTACCACAGGTGTCGTGGGTTGGGGACAGGCCACAGGCTGCCCTCATAGAGATCTTTTGGGTGCTGGACAGACTAGGGCTGGGCTATACTGCGTTTGCAGTCATTTCTCTCACCCTCAGAAGCAGGGCTGCTGAGAGTCTGGGTTGGCACTGCAGAGGCTTAGCCCTGGAATAACTACCTCCCTGCACAAAGGTGTTTTTCAGGGGCCTTGCTGTGAATGCTGTGCGTGGCTTCCCCACAAGCGCAGCCATGTTCCTCGGTTACGAGCTCTCCCTGAAGGCACTCCGCGGTGACCACACTGTGACAAGCCCATGAGTGTCAGGTGAGTGTGGTTTCACCTAGCCAAGGGTGAAGCTAGGACTCTGTTCTTCCTCGTGAAACTGTTGCGAGCTTCTGAAGTTCCCCTCTGTCCCCTGTGGTAAGTTCAGGAGTAGGAAGGCCTGCCTTCTCCCTACCATGTCACAGTTCTGAAATACCCGTGGTTGACAGGCACGCTGGGCCTCCAGTGACGGAACTGGGCCCAACTCAACAGAGACTGTTCACCTGCTTCCTTTCCCATCCAGGGTTTCCACAGTCCTTGGAATGAAGTGACCTGAGGATGCTGACCCCAGTGGCCACCCTGTGCCTACACGGGGCAGCTCCCCACTTCCGACTAACATGCTCCTTGCAAAGCTCCAGACTGTGGCCATTCCTTGTCTCCCAGTCAGACTCCTCCCTTTCCTTTCTCATTGTGCAAGGATCAGTGTAGCACTGTGCATCTCACTTCCTGCCTGACGCTCTCAGCGGCTCTCTACCTCACGTTTCCTGGGAGTCAGTCCTTGAAGCCACCTCCTCCTCCAGCCTTCCTCCCCCACATCCTGAACACCCTACCCTCTCTCTCCTGGGGTCTGTGATCCTGCTGTGCCTTGAGCCAACTCCCTCTTGGTCTCAATGCCACCAGCTCTTTGTCTCCAGCCCTGGTTGTTGGTTTATTTCTTAGCTGAGATGTGGCCTGCCTGCTACAGACCCCCTACCTGCCTGGTGTCCCTCCATCCTTCCAGGGGAGGTACTCTGCCCAGCAGCTCTCCTCCCTCAACCCTTTTCCTGATGTCACTCAGCCCTGTCCCTGGATGAAGAGTGACTGACTTCCAATGTCCCTCTCTCCTGTTTTTGCTCCTCTCTGGCCTCAAACTTGTCACTTGCAAGCTCAGAAAACAGGGAGGGGTCAATCATTGGACTTTCTCATCAACCGAGAAGCCATTTTCCTCTGCCTCCATGGCTGCTAATTCTCCCAAGGAGGATGGCCACCACCAGGGAAGCCTAGGAGCCTGACTACTGCCCTTCAGTTTACTGCAGGGGCTTCTGGAACTCACAGACAGCATAGCAGGTCCTAGATGGAGGCAGCCATCAGGCAGGATGACCACAGCAAACCCTGAAGCTGGCCTTAAACAAACTATTGCAGCCTTTTACTGGAATTCTGACATTCACAGCTCCTTCGGCTTGCTGCCCCCTTTTATACAAAATGAAAAGGGGCAGTAACACACTTGCATAATAAGAGCTTTTGGTGAAGCATCCGGGCATGGGTGATGTCCAGGGCAGGGCAGGGCAAGCAGGGCGGGATGGTGTGGGGCAGGGCACAGACGTTGTGTCATTCCTAAAGTTGTGCACACACAACAGCTCCACCCCCAAACCCATCCCTGTTAACAGGGAAATAAAAATTTAAAATCCTGTAACAAAATTACTGTATTTTTATATCGTAGGAAAATATAGAAAGGACCAAGTAAGAATTCCAGCAGTCACCATAAGGTCTCAAACCCAGAACCAACTTTGCACAGTACAGCTGCCTTCCTCCTAATGACCAGACACATCCCACACGGCTAAACCTAACTACAAGATGGCTTCAGTACCAAGACCTCAGATCTGAGTGGCTGGGCACTTGCCCTAGCTGTCACACCATGCCACTCTTTGCCACCCTGAGGACTGGCTCTTTAAGGAGGCTGGAGGAAGTTTCTAGAGAACCAAGTCAGGAATGTCCTAGATTTGGCATTTGAGAGCAGTAGCCAAGCCAGCTGGAAGCTTTTAATTCTGAATGTCCTCTCCCTTGCAAAGGGCTTGGTAACCCATCTCTGTGGAAAAAAGCCACTGAGGGTGGCAGTGAGGTTGGGGAGTGAGAAGAGCAGGTCCCCTTAAATGAGACTGGGTGACCTTAGCAACTTTGTCTCACCCGTGTTTAATACCCTGCTCTAACCAGGAGCCATGAACACCAGGTCCTCTATCATCTAGCAAGCCTGGACTTTAACTTACAAGGATTTGGGGCAGTCCATGGATCTACGTAGCAGAAGCATGAACTCTTTGAAGACATGCATAGCAGTGGCTCCCTCCTCACAGAGACCCAGAATGGAGGAGATGGTGTATCTCAGATGGTCCTAGAACACTGCAGATGCTAAGAAGCCGTGGGATGGCGACCGTCTCCAGAGGCCCAGGCACAAGGGTCAATGAAAACTGTTTCCAAATATACAAGTGGGATGGCGGACACAGCTCCCCAGTCTCAGGGGACAGCACCTTGCTTCCCATCCATCCCTTGTTCTGTTTCCTTCCAGGCCACTCCTAGCAGAGCTGTGAAACTCAGTGAGAACTCTGTGAGGTAGTTATTTTGTCATGAGGATAACTTGAGAAAGAGGGCCCTGGTCACTGGTAAGCGGTCAGTTCTTGGTTTGCTCCGGAGTCCTACTGTGTCATCCTTCCCTGCCCTTCCGGGGTCCTGCACCAGAACCGTCCTAGAATAGTGCCATTCTGAGTTCTGCCCTGATGTGTATGCTCCAGACCCAGGAAGCCTACTTTCCATTTACGAGGAGCTTCATACCCAAAGAAAGACGTAACCTTCACGTGACGCCTCGTTTGGACATCTACAAAGAATCCCAGACAGCTGTCCTGACTGTGCCACGGTGTGCTGGTGATCACTACCCCCATCTCTGTGGGACATGAACCATCTCTGTGTGGGTTGTCTGAGCCTGGATCCTGCTGGTCATAACTGGAAAGAGGATTCTTTACATCCTTCTCTTCTGGGGGCCGACCAGGCCTCACCCCACTGCAGGCTGGTGCTGCTGACAATGCCTGTAGAACCAGCAACATTGAGTTATTGGAACGAAGGAAGCCCCAGCCATCCTTGTTCTATGCCAGGTGAGCCACAGCCATCACACTGAGGTCAGAGTCACTTCCTTCATGATCGCAGGCTCCCCGTTTCTCTCCCCAGCCCAGAGTGCTGGAAGGAAGCAGCAGGCCATGGACAAAGCAGCCACCATCTCTTTTGGCTATGGATCAGAACCTAAGAAAAATTAGGGCAAACCTCTGTGTCCCCAGATGCTGAAAACTCAATCGAGACTTGCAGAGAAGCTTGGGTTGGCTCTGTGTTTCCAAATAAAAACACCAAATGAATGCCCTTTGGGTTATTTCTGTGTCACATGCCTCTACCTGGCTTCTGAGAGGCCTTGGTCACCACCCCACCCTCCAGGCTCAGTTTAGGTCTGTGGAAATGTTGCCAGCCCAGAGAGAAGCCAGATCCATGCAGTCTGGTAGCGGAACTAAGGGGGCAGTGTCATTTTCTCCTGGGTCCTTGAGGTACGCAGCGAGGGCACAGGGACTGGACAGGATCGAGTAGGAGAGAGAAATCTAAAGCCTGAGCACTAGTGTATGTTGGTGTCAGGAATGGCAGGTGGCAGCCCAGGCTTGCAAGGAGGTGGGTGCTCTCTGGACCTGACTTTTAAATGGAAACCCTAATGTAAAAGAACGAAAGTGAAGCGCACATGTCACCTACACTCTGCCTTCCAGTGTGATTTTATGCTTCTGTTTATCTCCTGTTGGAAGCACATAGGAGACCGCACTGCCGTCATGGGGCATGTGTTCCTGATGTCGCTTCTGAATCCCTACCTGGAGCAGCCACACCTATTCCACACATCTCAGCGCACTGCTGAATGTGATTTCAGAATTGCCCTACACTGT